AAAAAAAGGAAAAAAAAAGGGAGGAGGGCACCTCTCAGGCAGGGATGGGTGTGGCCTGATCCAATGCCTCAGGCGGGAGCTCTGCCTTGGAGGTTGTGGGGAGGAGAGTGATGGTGCTCCAGTCCCTTCTTGAACCAAGCGCTGCACCTCGCTTTTTTGGGCGTGTAAACTCCCCGTACCGGGGGCGCAGCCGAAGTTGGTTGCACTCTTCAACCCAGGGCAGTTCCAATCTCCAAATTCCAGTCCACGCACCCCGCTGAAATTGCCTTACACACAACTTCCCAGGCAGCCCCCTTGGGCAATTCCAGGCCCCCTGCCGAGCTCTGGGGGTGGTGTCAGAATTGCTGCTTCCTTCTCTGGGACAGGCTGGTGCGCATGGGTGGGGGCTTGCCTGCCGGGTGCTCTGAGCCCGAGCCCGCTGGAGTGAGGAAAACCGGGTCCCTCTATGGCTCGTCACCCGAAACACGAACTCACAGGCAAATTTCCCAGTTTTTAGTTCTTTGCCTTCCCTCTCGAGTTCCAGCCAGCCAGGAGCGCGGACGCCCGGTGTCCGCGCGGCTCTTTCAGGGGCCCCAGCCGCCCGGGAGCTACAATGGCGGCAGACGCGCCGCTACTCTCAAGTCCAGCCTCCAGGAGCAGCACAAAGAAGCAGTCTGTGCACTCAGCACCCAGGACCAGTTGGCGCGAGGGGACCTGGTGTGTAGGTATTTGGCAAGTACGGTCTTTCTATGCACCGAGCGGAGGTTTTCTTGTTTCAGACTCTCTCCTTTTCCCCTCTCACTCCCCGTAGAGGGTAGAGGGGGATCGCCTCCCACCCTGGAGTCTCTGATCTCGGCCCGATTTTATCTTCTCCGGTTCGCACTCACATTAGCAGGCTCTCTCAGTGGATTCTGCATCCTTTTTCTCCCAATCTCTCAGGTTTTGTAAGATTTCCAATGGCTTCAGACCTTTTCTGTGTGATGTATGGGCGCGAGTGCAAGTACGGAGCTCCTTACTTCTCCGCCATCTTCTTCTTTATTTTTTTAAATGTTTATTTATTTATTTTGAGAGAGAGAATACACAAGAGTGACTGGGGAGGGGGTAAGAGAGACAGAGATGGAGAGAGATAGAATCCTGAGCAGGGTTCACACTGTCAGCGCCGAGCCCAACTCAGGGCTCAATCTCATGACCTTGAGATCAAGACCTGAGCCCAAACCAATAGTTGGACGCTTAATCAACTCAGCCACTCAGGCGCCCCTGTTCTTTTTTCTTTAGACTGGGCTCTTCCTTCAGGGCAGTAACCTAAAACAGGGTTGGCATGTTAAAAAAAAAAAAAAAGTTGCTGTCAAATAAATTAAGTTGGAGGCCACACTCCTGGATTTATAATTATATTTATATAATATAATGCAATTATAATTAAACCCACAAGACAGTCAAGGTCAAGGGAGAAAAGAAAATTAGTAACTGTTTGGAAAGAGAAGTATGACAATTCACTTTTAACGAGAGTCCTAAACAAGTCTGGAAAAACTGGCTTCTCCAAGGATGGCATCATAGTGGAGTATCCTGTTTTATTGACACCTGCGCCCAGGAAGTTTCCCCCTACACTTGCCTTTATGCACTACCAACATTTGAAGTTTCTGAATCCTCGGGCTATGATGTTCCTTTTTTTAAAATTTTTATTTATTTTGAGAGAGAGAGAGAGAGAGCGAAGGAGAGAGAAGGGTAGAGAGAAAGAGAGAGAGAATCCCAAGAAGGCTCTGCTCACTTAACACAGAGCCCAACACAGGGCTTGAACACAAAATCCAGAGATTATGATCTGAGATGAAATCAGGAGTTAGACACTTAACCCACTGATCCACCCAGGTACCCCTATGGCTTTCTTATTCTTATGTGTGGTGAGTGAGTTCTTTCTCCAGCCTTAGCCTTCTGCACTCACCTCTACCCAAGACTGCAGGGGCTCTCTGTCTGGTTCTCTGCATTCTTGATACTCCTCTGGCTCCTCTAAAAGGGAACTTATAGTTATTTTCACAGGCATCCCAGGGAACAGCACAAAGGACAAGTGGGATCCATTGGGGATTCCCATCCTGCACGCCAGTGCAGAGAATCACTTTCCCTCATGGGGTTAATTAGCAGAAAGGTCCTCACTTTACACTCCTCTCATGAGATTTCAGGATCAAAGTTGTCGTGAAGTATTTTGTCCTGATTGCAGTCACATCTCTGAACATGGCAGACGACTTTCTCCACCACTATGGTGATCGCCCCAGGTGTGCGTGAGTCTACCGGGTGCCCTGCAAAGACCATGTGTGTCTTGGTCCTGCTCTTCCTACATGAACATATACATGGTTAAAGTCTTGAAGGAGGGGCTCCTGGGTGGCTTAGTTGGTTAAGCGTCCGATTTCAACTCAGGTCATGATCTCACAGTTGGTGGGTTAGAGCCCCACGTCAGTTTCTGTGCTGACAGCTCAGAGCCTGGAGCCTGTTTCAGATTCTGTGTTTCCCTCTCTCTCTGACCCTCCCCGCTCACCCTGTCGATCTCTGTCTCAGAAATAAATAAAACATTTAAAAAAATTTTTTTTTAATAAATAAATAAAGTCTTGAAGGAAACATACTTGAAAAAAAACTTGAAAAAATATTTAATAGAAAATAAGACGATTTCATAACAGACACGTCATTGGGATTTTGTGCCAATATTAGTGAGGGGGCAATTCATTTTTTTTTCTCATGCCGCAAAAGCATGTGAATCTCTCTCACCCTAAACAATCCACGTGGGCCCTGCTGACCTCTCTAGTGACTGTCAGTGTCTCACCATTTTTCACAGGATTATTCTGTACTCCACGTGCTCAATCCACTGCTCTCTTGAAAACTCAAAGTTGTTGTTGTTTTCCTTTTCCTCCTCTTACTCCTTCCTCCTCTTCATCTCTTTCTCCTCCTACTCCCTCTTCTTCTTCTTCGCCTTTTCCTCCTCCTTCTCCTCCTGCTGCTGCTGCTGCTTCTTCTTCTTCTTCTTCTTCTTCTTCTTCTTCTTCTTCTTCTTCACCTTCACTTTCTTTGCCTTCTCCTCCTCCTCCTGCTGCTGCTGCTGCTGCTTCTGCTGCTGCTGCTTCTTCTTCTTCTTCTTCTTCTTCTTCTTCTTCTTCTTCTTCTTCTTCTCTTTCCTCTTCTCCTTCCTCTTCTTCTCTTTCCTCTTCTCCTTCCGCTTCTTCTTCTTCATCTAGTTGCTTTTACCATGTAATCCCCTTTGGAAATATGGGTCAAATTTTGGATGGGAATATGTGCTTTCTTTCTCTCTTGAGTTTTGTCTAACATTCCTTCCTGTGACATAGGGACCTAATTTTCTTGTCTAACTACTTATAATATACTTCTTCAAATTCCAAAGTAATAATAAGTCATTGGAATACAAGGTCCAGCCTAGGGAAGATAGCACTGTATGATGACAGATGGTGACTACAGTCGTGGGGAGCACGATGTAAGGTTTAGAGGTGTTGAACCACTATGTTGTACAGCTGGGACTAATGTAACATTATGTATCAACTATACTCAAATTAAAGGAAAAAAATCACATGAGAAGATCTGGAAAGACGTTAATTGGAAATATTGTAACATCTAATCATTTACTATAGCACAAAATATTCTATTTTATTTTTAACGGCTTTATTGAGGTATTCTTTGTATACAAAGAACATACCTAATGTGTACAATGTGATGAATATGAATGTATGCAAACATCATATATAAGCCCCACAGTGAAGATAATAGATGTACCCAAAACCTCTCAGAATTGCTTCTTATTTAAGGTCACAAAGCTTGTATGTAGTACAGTAAAATATGAACCTCTTTCTATAGATCTTATGTTCTTAACCACTATATTTTATAATCTGTATTTGTTACTAATGCTTATGGAATAATAAGAATAATACTTACATAATAACAATAAGATTAATGTTTACAAGATATATTTTAATGGCTTAAACATCATATTTCTTCTCTATTAGCTATCCATCTACACAACTCTGAACAGGTAGGCCGTGATACATTAAACATGTATAAATAAAATAAACATGGGAAGAAATGGAATACAAAGAAAATATCAGTGGACAATGAATACGTTATATGTTAATCTTGTGGTTTAATATGTTAGAGTAACATCCAAAGAAAAAGTTGCCTATGAGCTAGCATCAACTTGCGGATGCATTAAACCCCTTCTGAAGGCAGAGAAGTTTCTTAATCGCAATCTTCATATCTTTGTTTCTCAAGCTATAGATGATAGGGTTGAAAAAGGGAGCAAGAACGGCAAACATCAGTGCAATGACTGTGTCCAATGTTGGTGGGAAAGTGGCGGAGAAACGCAGGTACATGAGGGACACACTGCCATAGAACATCAGAAAGACACCAAGATGAGATGCACAGGTAGAAAAGGCCTTCTGGCGGCCTTCAACAGAAGGGATCCTCAGAATCACAGTGATGATTCTGACGTAAGAGAGAGTGATAATCAGGACAGAGAAGATGATGGCCACAGCATGGATCACGTCCTCAACCAGAATCATGGACGTGTCTGTACAAGCCAAGCGCAGTACAGGTTCAAAGTCACAGAATATCTGATGGATTTGGTTGGGCCCACAGAAGGGCAGTGTGGAAATCCACACAATCTCTGGGAGCAACACAAGAAAGCCAAAGACGCAGGAGCCTGCAGAGAGCTGAGTGCACAGCTGGGGGGTCATAATGGTCAGGTAGCGGAGAGGGTTGCAGATGGCAACATACCTGTCAATGGCCATGGTGGTCAACAAAATTCCCTCTGCATTTCCCAGGGAATGGAAGAAATACATCTGCAGGAGGCAGCCAGTAATGGAGATGGTCTTCTTCTCACTGATGAGGTTGGAGAGCATCTTGGGAATGGTGGCAGTGGTGTACCAGATCTCCAGGAAGGAGAAGATGCTGATGAACTTGTACATGGGGTTGTGGAGATGGGTGTCCATCCTGACTGCAAAAAATACAATGAGATTTCCAATCACAATGAATATGTAGATGATGAACAAAGGAATGAAGAAGAGAAGACTACCATCTTCAAACTGGGGGAATCCAGAGAAGAGAAACTCTGTCACTGTAGAAGTTCGGTTATTTCTTACCATGGTCTTAACAGCCTTAAGCGTCTGGGTAGAAAGACACAGCTCACTCCCTAGATGAAATATAAAGAGTTAGATATCTTGGTTCATGTAAGCATTTCAAGGGAAGAAATGCTTTAGGTGGTGATTTATCCCTATCATTCTTGTATTAATTAAACATATCCATTTAGTTTCTACTATGTGCCAAGCACAACTGTAGGCTTGTTGAATTCAGTAGTGAAGAAAACACTCCATTTTCATGGAGCTTATCTTCCAATGAAGGAGACAAAGAATAATAAATAAGATTGCATAATGTCATCTTTATAAGCTACACTAACTAAAACAAAGTAAGATATTAGGAGTCCTACTAATAATCATTTTTTATAAGAATTTCCCAAATCATTTTGAATCACATACCAGATAAATTCTCTAATGTTTCTTGGCTATACAGTAGACAATCAAAACTCTTAGTTATTTTCCTCTCTACATAGTTATTGTAAAGTTGCATTCTGCATTTTCTGGAAAATCCCCAGTTTTCAGTATTCAATTCCTTTATCAGACCACAGAGGAGTTCTGAGCGAAGTTAAAGATAAGGGTGAGGTTTTTAGGCAAATATTTCAAAGTGAAGCTATGGTAGGAAACTATTCCCAGCAGTGGAAGAGATAAAGCTAGTGAAAACTGGCTAGCACAGAGGTAAGGGAAATTCCAGAAACGGAGCTCTAGAATGTTCTGGAAGAACAAAGAAGGCCCAGGGTGTGAACAGGGAGTTCTCTCTTGAGAACCTGGTTCTTGAAATCTTTCAATCACACTTCTATATATCAGTCCACCAGAGATATTAAAAAAAAGCAGAGAGCTTTGCTGAGCTAGCTACATCTCCTATTTATAGTCTGACAAAGACCATCGAGGAATGAGAAGGTAAGAGCCAAAATGTGACATCCCAGCACAATTTGTGTCCCTTGAAATTGCATGAAGTATGAAGAGACCTCTAAAAGTAGTGCAAGAAATCTCTTCAAATGCAATTCGTACTATTTCCCAGCAATTCAAACAGCTGAACTGAAAATGAGTCAAAGAGAAATGTTGAGAACACAAAGGAATTTGAAAGATAAGTTCTCTTTTGATATCATGTAGAGCCGTTTAAAAATGAACTCCTCATGGGATGCATGGGTGGCTCAGTCAGTTGAGCATCTGACTCTTGATTTCAGCATGGGTCATGAACCCAGTCTTGTGAGATCAAGCCCAGATTTAGGCTCTGTGCTGAGCGTGGAGCCTGCTTAAGATTCTCTCTCTTTCTCTCTCTGCCCCTCTCTGCTGCTCTCTCTCTCTCTTTCTCTCATAAAAAATAGTAAATGAAGTTAGGACACTTGATCATACTCTATGCCAATATTTCCTAGAAAGATGGTAGAATATTTCCTCTGAGTTAATACTACTTGAAAATTTACTTATACGCAGAATCAACGTTAAGCTTACAACTTTATTAAAGAATACCATTTGAAATTCCAAATTAAAATGAGGCATTTGAAACATAGATAGAGCCAATGAAAAATATTTGGCTCATTCTGAGATTTTTCAGAGATCTTATTACAAAACTAAATATATATCTTGAAAATGTTCTTTTAAGAACTGCTTTATATAGACTAATTCTGACAAATATCACTTTGGCTGCTTCTAGAAAACAAAGTGGCACAGAGAATTCAGAAATGTTTATTATTCTTATACATGCAAATCTCTCACATTTTCATAAATTAAGAGTATTATAAAAGTTCTAAAGAAATTAATTGTCATTAATTTTTCTATTTATAGAAAATGCATATATATAATGTATATATACATACAATGATGTATGTATAATATATATTTTCATTCAATGCAATCTCAAATTCCAGGTGGGTTTTTTAAAATAGATATTAAGAAGCTAATTCTGAAATATGAATGAAAAAGCAAGGGACAAAGAAAAACATCTTGATGAAAGAGAACAAACTGGGGGCGCCTGGGTGGCTTAGTCGGTTAAGCGTCCGACTTTCGCTTGGGTCATGATCTCGCGGTTCATGGGTTCGAGCCCCGCGTCGGGCTCTGTGCTGACTGCCAGCTCAGAGCCTGGAGCCTGTTTCTGTCTGTGACTCCCTTTCTCTCTGACCCTCCCCTGCTCACGCTGTCTCTCTCTCTCTCTCTCTCTCTCCTAGAAATAAATGGAACATTAAAAAAAAAAAAGAGAACAAACTGGAGGACTCAGAACTGCTAGTGTACATTTCCAAACAGGACAGTGTAGTATTGTCAAGAAAATAGACACAAAGATCAATGGAACTAAGTACAGTACAAAAAGAAATACTCACATATATGGTCAAGCAATTCAGTAAAGAAAATAAAGTATTTTTGGCAAATGGCACTGGGCAAACTGGACACACGTGTGCTAATAAAATCTTGCATCATACACAAGAACAAACACAACATGGATCATAAATCCCAATGTAAAACCAAAAGCCATAAACTATCATCCAGAAAATAGAAGAGAACATCTTTATGACATTTGGTGCAACAAAAGTATATATGCTGGAACATCAAAAGCTCAATATGTATAAGAATAAACCGATAAACTGAACCTTATCAAAACTGATTGCCCCTAGGAATGAAAAAAAAAAAAAGCCATTGTGGGAGAAAATATGTGTGAGACACGTATCTGCCTAAAAACGTTTCCAGAAAACGTGAAAACTCAAAACTCTCTTGAAACCGCAATGAGCTACATCAGGCTTACACATTTCTAAGAACAATTACCTTTCTTTTTTAACAAAACAGCTGGCGATTCCAAGCACTGGAGAGGATGTGAAACAACTAGTTCTCTCCTGTAGTGCTGGAGGGAACACAGAATGGTGTAGCCACTGTGGAAAAGAGTTTAGCAGCTTCTTGTAAATTCAAACATGCACTCAACATATCATCCAGCAGCCCCACTCCTAAGTATTTACCCCAAAGAAAGTCTATGATCACACTAAAACCCACAAACAAATATGTATAGTGGCTTTATTTATAAAACCATAAACAACCCAAATGGCCTCCAACTGGTGAATGGATAAACAAACTTGGTACATCTGTATAATGACCTACTATTCGGCCAGGAAAATGAATGACATACACACATGTGGTTTCATCTCAAACGCATTGTGTTAAAGGAGAGAAGTCAAAGGCTACACATTGGATGATTCCATTGATATGACTGTTGTGGAATGAATGGTTTTGCTCCCTGCCCTTCAGATTCACATCACCAATGTGATGGGGTTAGGAGAGGGGGCCTTGGGGAGGTAATAAGAATTAGAAGAGGTCATGAACACAAGAGGCATTAGTACCCTTATGAGAGTCTCAAGAAAATAGCTCCTCTCTGTCACCTGCCATGTTAAGGTTCAGAGAGGAGCAGTCATCTACAAATCAGACACCAAGTCTTCCTGACCTGGGCCTCAGTCCCCCAGGCCACAGAGATGCTGCATTGTTTAAGCCTTCCAGTCTGTGACCCTTCTGTCATGGCAGCCTGGATGAACTAAGACAGAAACTGATACTGAGAAGTAGGGGTGTTCCTCTAACGAATACCTGAAAATGTAGAAGCAGCCTTGGAACTGGCCAATAGGCAGAGACCAGAAGAGTTTAAAAGAAAGTACTTTTTGCCTAAGAAATCTCAGTCCCGGGTGGATGGACAGTTGCCATGACCCACATCTGTGGGGAAACCATTGGTAGTAACTGTGACTCATCACTCCTGCCAAACCCAATGACAGATAGAGGAGAGCGGTATGGGTCTGGGGAAGTCTGTTGGAACAGACTTGCCCTACTCGGCCTTCTGGACTCTGCGAAGCTTAGCAGGGGTGAATAGAGGGGCTTGGAGAAAGGCCTTCCAGAAAGGATGAATGAGCAGGGCTGAACTGAAACTCCCAGAAAGGCTAGTCTGGACCAAGACCCAAGCAGATGCAATCAGCTTTGCTTGAGAAAGAGAAAAGATAAAAGTTATGCAAAAGCTTCAAATAAAGGACTTTAGAGTCCAAGGCATAGAAATAAAAGAAAAAGGGAACAAATCTCTCCTACTCTACGCTCCGCCTCAAAAATACAAGTGCACTGAGGAGTCTGGCATCTGGCGGAAAACCTGTATGAGTTCCAGCCCTGACTGCAGGCGATTACATATGCTTTCCCAGGCTGGCCTCCCAAATCACACCGCCCCATTGGCACTGGACTTGGTCCTGACCTGTGGACCACAGACTAAGAGGGTTGCAGCAAAGGGCTATGGCTCCTGTCCCCCATCATGCCCTTTGTGTGTTTCCTTTCAGCCCTGCACCTGTACTCCGACGTCTCTATCTGTAGCCTTGGGCCAAGGTCCTCTTCAGGAACCTCCGCTGATGCCTCTCCAGAGGACAAGGGAGAGAAGTAGAGTCACTTGCTCCCCACCCCCCACTCTGACTCAGTCCACCCTGTATCCCCCTCCATCTCAGGGGCCCTAAAACTGCTAGAGCCTTTTGTTCAGGGATTCCCGCACCACAGAAATGACCCTCAGGCCTGCTCAGCTGCACCTGACCCCGGATCAGTGCTCAGTTTCACTGCTAAGAAATGGGCTGGCGGGAAGCACTTTCTTTGTTTTCAACCTTGGGCTCATGCTGTCACAGTAAATGACTTACACGATAAGTGATCAAAAGCTTTGCGGTTACTTTCATCTGGGCTCAGCATTTCCGTCTGCTGCTCTCTTGGCTCAGCTGCACCCCGGGCACACGTGTAGAGATTCAGGGAAGGAGCAAAGAAGGTTCATACCTATCTCCAGTTGCAAATCAGTACAAACATGACTTCAACTACTCTTAGAACTGAGATATTTTGGACCTTCCGAGCAGACAGTTACCATCTCACTGTGCTTCTGGTGCCTCTATTTATTTCTCCTAAGTGAGTGATGATAATCTTTTTAATAGAATCTGGGTCCTTATGTTTTAGCAAAATCAATGTTCTACTTGACAGAAATTAATGTGCCAATTCAAAGTTTAACTGTTGGAAGCTGGAAGGAGACAAAATGA